AAATCCAGGTCCTTTAAAGTTTCTAATTAAAGGACCTGACAAACGCCCCCCCCCAAAAAGAATCAACTACACCCCGCCTCAATATAACTCCGTTTTCTACAATGTGGGGTGTGTTTAACAGACAGAATGCAATATCTAAAATGTCTCTAAATTAACAAGTACCACTTACTCCAGACGGCAATGCCTTTAGCAGCTCCTAAAAACTTCAGAAAAGGATCTTAAAACAGGAAGCTTAGTGAACTCATAAAACCCGTTGTTGGAGCCAGGAACACATAGCATATTTAATCTGCAAACTGTGAGCGTCTCCCATGATTTGAGCGAGATCTGAGGCATGCCCTCAAGGTTTGCTGGGATCTGGGATTAGAGAGTTGATAAGAACCTCGACTGCCCATGGACATGTTTTTCTTCTGCAGTTAAACACAAATGCGGAGAGACATTTGACTGCTGCTTGGCGTTACTGCTCCCGCTATATGAAAGCTCGGCAGCTCCTTTTGCTGTCAATATATCAAAGTTTAAAAAAAAAATCATCAAAGTGTGAAGTTTCATTTAAAGTCCTCCCCAGTCTACAGCTCTATTTCACAGGGCTAGCAAATAAGAGAAAAGATGAAAAATCAAGCTGAAAGAACTTGAAAAGTAAGTTTGCAGCGGGGCCCAAGCTTGGGTTTGGTTTACTCTGTGCGCCCCCCCCCCCCCGCCCCAACACAAACTCACTTTATTTCCTTTGAAAAAATAGACAAACCAAGTCCCCAATGGGAGGAGGACAGACAAGGGTAGGAGACGGAGCAGCATCTTCTGACATGGCAGTAAACAGCCACCTCCACCTGGGCTCGGAGGGGGCTTTTTAAGAAAGTACTTCATTTCTCTAGTCATTTTAGCTTTTTAATCGTCTCACATGATCTAAGTTGGCAGAAAATTTCTCGAATCTTCCAAAACAAATCAGACTGACTCCAGAATAGGAATGCCAGCAAAAACTAAACCCTTCTTCAAAGTATTCTTTAGCTAGGGATTTACAACAATTGCAGTAAGAAGAAAAGTCTGACTTTTAAGATAATCTACTATAGTCTAAAAGCATTAACATTCCATTACGAAGGTTTTCCTGAGGATTTCACGACTCACTGAGTCACTCTTCCTTCAAGTCTGTTTTTTCTTACTGCATTACTGTCTTCGTACTGGCAACAAGCTCATTCAAGGGTTTCCTTTCATAACCTCCCCACCCCCAGCCTCCAAAAACTGGATCTGGGCTCAGTAAGCAGCCTACCTTATTTGGCGGAAAAATGTAAGCCCTAGGTCCAGCTCTTCACTACCTTCCTTCCTTCCTTACCTCCATTCTGCGGAAGAGGGGCAGCTTTGAGGGCAGCCAGGTAATTAGGTGCATTTTGCCGGGCCAGAAACAAAGGCTGCCTCCGATTTTGCAGCCTGTCCATTCACAAGATGACAGCCCCCTCTTCTCTTATATGAGCTGTGGAATACTTCAAGGCAGTCACTTCAGTGGCCGGAATCCCCTCTTTCCCTCTGGGTCAAAGAGGCAGCAGGTGAAGGAACCTAGACTATCCCTCTGTCCTGACCACTCCAGAAACCCAGCTCTGCCCATCAAGGTAAAGGGGATCAGGTACCAGTAGGGACCCATTTTCATTAAAGCCAACTTTTAAAAATGGGATTCTACTAGTGTTCAAGCAGAGCTCTGTGGGGGAGACTACAGTCCATACCAGATACTCACTGGGCTTGCTGGAGCATCCTAAAACAGCTGCCCTATCCAAGCCCTCCAATGCTGGTTCGGTCAGGCCCATGGTCTCTAACTTAACACACAAGTATAAACAAATTTGCTTCCTTCTGGACAGATAAGATCACCCCAAGTTGCACATTAGTAGATGTTTACTAGAGACCCTAGCAAAAAAGACAAAAAAAAAAAAAAAAAAGGATGTGTGCACCAGCTTGTTAAGACCAATATTTCCTTCCATAAAGAAATTCTTCATATACTTCACACTGTTTACATTGTGAAAGTCAATCCCCATTCCTGGGCTGCAGCCCCTGCCCCAGAATATAGAGCCTTCCAGCAGCTGGTCTGGGAGCATGGCTTGGATTTTCAGGGGATTTCTAGGACTCTACAACACAGCACTTTCCTCCTTCAAAATAATCTTGACAAGTGTAATTAAGAAACTGTCAGACTATTATTAATTTTTAATTTAGGACCTAAATGAAATAATTACAGAGATCAATCAGTAAGTCACCTATCCAAATTATAAAGCAATTACATAAATACTCGGAATTAATACTTTAGGCCAATCCTTGCAGATTTCAGTTAATAGTTCACTCAAACATGAAACAAACAAACATTAGCAAGAAGGGAATTGCTCTGGCTTCTTTCTTTGAAAGACTTAAGTTACATCAGCTAAGATCACCAGCCCCCATCATGTTGAATTCAGTCAAGGAGGCACTCCTTTGAAAAACTCGATTATTTCCATTAGTCAGTTCTCTATCTCCATGTTCTGACTAACTCATAACCAAATTCCTCCAATAAATTGAGAAATCATATCTCCATTTCAAAATAACTATGATAGTGTCAAGCTTTGGAAAAGTGAATATAGGTTCAAAGGAAGGAACTGGTATGGTGAGGGGAATAGAACCCCCTCCTTTAACTACTCAACTCAGGCTCCTGTGGAAGGGTGGATTAGGGTATCATACATACAGACTGGTGACAAAATGCCCAGCCAGACAAGTCAGGAGAATTGCTTAGGCCTCCCCTTTGGGTTAGCGATCAGACAGTCACTCTGTCACTAGGGACTCCAGTGGCAGCTGGAAAATGGGAAGAGTTGGCCATGATAAAGGAGGAAATGTTTTATGGAAATAAAGTTGCCCTCCCCCCACTGGAGGAGGGAGACCAGTGCTGGCCCCCTCACCGTCCCAATCTGCCCACCAGCCTTGCACAAGTTGACATGAACCCTACGGGTCATTGGCAGGATACTGAGGGCAGAAGGAGAAGACAACAGAGGAAGGGGCTGCTGGCCCCTTCCCACGCGGGCATGGCGGGCTTTCTTCCGTTCTGTTGGGCATTTTGCTAGAAGCAGAGACAATCTGGAGTTGCGGAGGGACCAAAGAAGAGGAAAGGTCCAGAGTAGGGAGGGCTTCTTCGCGGTGAGTTGCTTTTAAAAGACCTGACTCCCACCCCCTGCGTTCCATTCAATTCCGTTGAGCAAACATTTATTTAGTACCTGCGCGGTGCCGGGCACTGTGCTAGGGAAAGCTGGCCTGTGGCAGCTGCTGACTCCCTTCTCACTCAAGCCTCCTAGCTCCAGCGAGCATCTAAGCCTCATACCTACCTGGACTGATTCACACCTAAAGCCCCCTCCGCCCGAGCTGGCCCCTAAAACATGCTTTCGGGAAGAAGGAGCTAGGAGCTCGGTCCCTCAGCTGGGCCAAGCTGATCTTACCAGTAATTTGCAGTCGGAAAAAGCAGAGATGATCCCCCCCTACCCCCTACACACACACACACACACACACACACACACACACACACACACACACACACACACACACCAGCGGCGCGCTTTTGCTTGTCCCTTCCAAACTCTGCAACTATGATCCCGCGGAACCCAGCCCTCCCCCCCCTCCCCCAGTCCCCCGGCACCCTCCGGTCCCGCGACCCTCTGCGGGGAGGTCTGGGCTGAGAGGCAGGCACACCCGGCCGTGTTCAGTAAATGGAGGGCCCAGAGATTCGGCTGAAGATCAGAGCAGCCGGCAGCTCAGAGCTCGAGGGCAGCCCGCTTCCCTGAGCACCAAAGTTTCTACTTCGGCCTCAAACCGGGCAGGACAGGCAGGCGGCCCGAGAGAGCTTGGCAGCTTGGCCCCAAGTGGGGCTGGAAGAACCGGTAACAGCCAGAAGAGCCAGGTCGGCTCGGAGAGTCTTTGGGGCTGTAACGGGCCGGTACTGCGCGGGAGGGAAGGAAGGAGGGAGGAAGTAAAGGGGGGAAGGAGAAAGGGAGGGGGGGGAGGAGGGGGGGGAGGAGGCGGGGGGGGGGGGGGAGGAGGAGGAGGAGGAGGAGGAGGAGGAGGAGGGCAGACATCTCCCGGCTTTTGGCTTACTTGCTAAGTTGCTTAGGGTCTTGGGACTCGAGCTTAGGAGGGCTGTTTTCATGGCCTTTGGCGCTTCCCAAAGGCGTCTCTAACTCCCCGCCAGAGTGCGCGGGCCGTGGCCCCGGACCCCTCCTGACAGCCTAGGTACGTCCTTCTGTCCGGCCGCGGCAGGCCACCCGGCAAGAGACAAAGGACTGAAGGTCGCTCACCGGCTCCCTACCTGGCAGCGGCCGCTGTCACTTCCCGCGAAGGTCCCGCACGCCCCACTCGCGCCGCGCCCGGGCTGCCCGGGCGAGCCCCCTCCACGCGGAACGGGTGGCGTTGCTCCGCTCCTCACGACCACGCACGGGGGGAGAGGGAGGCAGCCCCGGGGTCGCGCGTTTGAGTGGATGGGTGAGTGTGAGTGATTGTGAGGGTGGAGGTGAGTGGGAGTGGGTGAGTGCGCGCGCCTGGCTGGGTACTTCCCTAGGGTTGCCCTCCTGGGCTCTGGTGGCGCCCCCCACCCCACTCCCCGCCCCGAGTGTGTGTGCCCGCCCGCCCGCTCGCCTGCCCGCCGAGCCCGGCACCGCTCTCAGTGATCTGGTAATCTGATCCCCCCTGACTCACCAGCACTGACTGACATTTCTGATTTGGTTCAACCGAGGCGGGGGCAGTGGCGGCGGCAACGGCCCCAGGAGGAAAAAGAAGAAAAAGAGAGAGAGGGAGGAAGGAAGGAAGGAAGGAAGGAAAGAAGGAAGGAAGGAAGGAAGGAAGGAAGGAAGGAAGGAAGAAAGAAAGAAAGAAAGAAAGAAAGAAAGAAAGAAAGAAAGAAAGAAAGAAAGAAAGAAAGAAAGAAAGAAAGAAAGAAAGAAGGAAGACAGAAAACCTATGGTCCCCATCCCCCGGCTCCGGTTCCGTGCAACCCAGCATGGACCGCGCAGCCCACTGACCTTTCCGAGGGGCTCCGGCCGCAGGGCGGACAGCACAGCTCGGCCGGCCTCCGGCCTCCGGCCTCCGGCCTCTGCCTCCGCTAAAGAAAGCACTTGCTGTAGCTCCGCCAGAGCCTCACATGTTGGAAAAGTTGTCCCTCGGCCCCCTTTCCCCTCCTCCCGCCCCCTCTCCCCCTCCTTCTCTTTCTCTTTCTCCCCCACCTCCTCCTCCTTCCCGCCCCCTTTCCCCGCCGCCTCCAAGTTTTCCCCGATGGGGCCGTCCCGATTTCCCGAGTGCCCGCCCTCTCCTTTTCTCCTCCCTGTCCTCCCGGGCCGCTCCCCGCGGCCCTGGGACAGAGGTTGGCGGGCCGAGGAGGGATGGGGGGCGGGGGGGGGGCAACCAACCTGGGCGGATGGATCGACGAGCCAATGGGGAACTCCAGGCGCCTGCCGCGGCCCGGCCCGGGGGGAGGGGCGAGGGAGCCGGGGGAGGGGGCCGCCGGCCCGCCCCGGGAAACTTCAGGATGGGGCTCCGCACTTTTGCTAGCTCTGTCTCTCTCTGTCTCTCTCTGTCTCTCTCTGTCTCTCTCTGTCTCTGTCTCTCTTTGTGTGTGTTGTGTGTGTGTGTGTGTGTGTGTGTGTGTGTGTGTGTGTGTGTGTCTGTCTGTCTGTCTGTCTGTCTGTCTCCTTCCCTCCTAGCTGCTCCGGGAGGAGGAGGCTCCCCTCTCCTTCCTCCTCCTCTCCTCCTCCTCCTCTGGATCGGTCGGGGTGCTCGGAGTTGGTGCTTCAGTTGCAGAGAGATGCAGGCGCCGAGGAGGAGGGGGTAGCAGGGGGGGAAAGGGGGAGGGGCCCCGGACGGGGCGGGCCCTCTCCTGGGCCCGCGAACGTTTCTCCGAACGCTGCTCTGGGAGCCACTCTGCAGCCTCGGCGGGGGGGGGGGGGGGGGGGGGCGGAGGGGTGAGGAGCACTGTGGGGAGCCCGAGCCACGCGCCTTCACTCCTAGCCGTCCCTCCAATCCTGCCCTCCTCTGCCCTCCCCTCACCTCCTCACAGACACAGATTCAGACCGGCTCCTCCTCTCCGCCGCCCCCCCTTCTCCCTTTTCCCCTTCTCCTCCCCTCTCTCCTCCTTGCGGGGCCTCATTGAGGCCCCACCCACCCAGGGGAGGAGAAAGGCAGCAGGGGCGTGATATCAGGGACTGCCACCTCCAACACCGCCCCCCCCCCCCCGCCCCTCATCCTACCCTGAGCAACTGTGTCCCAGCTTTGCAGCTTCCCTCCTTCCTGTGTCCATTTCCTCCTCCCCTGGCTCTCTGTTTTCCTGTCCACCCCTGTGTAGTTCACCTCCCTCTCAGTTTGGGCTCCCTTCTCTCCTTTTATAGCCTCACTGATTTCTTGAGCTTTGCTGTCTCTCTCTCTGTTCTCCTTAGGCATCTTCCTTCATCAGTCCAGAACCTCCCTCTCTTCAAGTAATTAACGATCTCTCAGCAATCCGTGCTCCACAGAGCTGCCAAGTTGATGCTGCTAAGGCGCAGGCAGGTCTGACCATGTCATTCCCCTGATCACAAAGCTCCAGGGCCTCCCTCTTACCTCCAGGTTTATATACAAACTATTAGTTTAAATACAAAGTGCTCTTGGTCTCAAAGACATTTATAAACCAAGTCTGACTTTTCTCTCTAGCCTGATTCCAGGAGACTCAGCCTCTAACATTCTGCTTTAGAACCAACCTGGTCTCCATGGCGTTCCCCTTCAAGGACGCCTCACTCCCAATTGCCGTGCTTTGGAACAGACCGCACTGCACCCCAAGCCTGAAATGTTCTTCCTCTTGGAATCCGCGGCTTCCTTCAAAGCTCAGCTGCTGTAGGCCTCCTGTGCAAAGGCTTCCTTAACTCTTCCCCCAAGCGGTGCTAGAAAATTCCTTTGTATTGAGTTCTCTGTGTGCATCTTTCATTCCCCCAGTAGACTATAATCTCCCTGAGGTCAGAAACAGTTCCGTTTTTGTGTCCCTCTTGCCATTATCCGGCACTTAGCTGGTCCTCCCTTAATAAATGCCTTTTTAGAAGCATTGGATGGTCCAGGGTCACACAACTAGCAAACTGTAGGAGAGGAAGTCAAACCCTGGTCTTCCGAAGTCCCCAGGTTGTCCCACCAAAGTATCTCTATTCTGGGGTCCCAGGGATTGGAGCCCTTACTGCATCCTAGTGAGTCTATTTGAAAATGCTCTTCTCTGATAAACAGACTCATTTACCTTCAGTTGTCTTCTCAGTAAAATCATTTTCCTCCTTCCCTTCTTCTATCCACCTACATCCACTCTTTCTGTTCTTATCTACCAATCCCTGACTGGTAGCAAAAAAGACATTTTCCTCGAAGAAAAGCATTGCTATTTTTTTTAAAGAGAGTTTCACCAGACGTAATGGATCCTAGGACACTCAGAACCTTTTCTTAGCCTCAGGTCCCAGTCTCAGTCAGCATAAGGGAAAATCCCTCTCCACCCACCACTCAAAGATTCTATCAGGCAGATTTGCTGATCCAAGGAGAGTGGAGGTGTAAGTGACGAGCTATTATTATTTTAATAGCATTTCTAGATTCAAACAGTTCATTGGAGGCTATTTTTTTTCTAAAAAATTTATGTGAGAACCGTGTTTCACTTCCTGGGCCATGCCACTTTCCACAAAGATCTGAGTCCAGAAGAGACTGATCGAATCAGTCGGGCCAAAGAATTGGAGCAAATGGAGAGCAGACCAAAGATGCTCTTCTTAATCCTTTCTCTTCCTCTCCCCTTACAGATACTCACCATTTTCCCCTACCCGTCTATCACTGTCACTGAACAAATATCCTTCCCTCTTTTTCCACATCTAGTCACTTTTTTCCCTCATCAAAGCACATGACTCTGCCACAGTCTCCCACATGTGAATTACAAATCCAGATTCTGGCCTGCACTCTTGACTGGGGTGGAATGGAGGGAAGTAAGGGGAGCCATAGTTAATAACTTATCAGATCAGCTAGATCAGTGTGCTTAACTTAAGCTTCATTCCAGAGAAAACAGCTGGTGCATGTTTTAGACACAAAGATTTGATTCTACCAGTTCAAAAGGCAAGAACAAAGGGTGAACAGAGAACCTTTCTACCTATGACCGAGAACACAGGGTGAGATCAGGCTCAAAGTAGTAGAGTATGAAGGGGTGATGCTGACCTTTAGAACTGTGGTAATATTTTCACACTTTTACACTTAGTAGAGACTCCCTACACCTGCTATAAAAACCTTTCTAGTATCTATATCTATCAGGAATGTATATAACAGCTACACACACACATGTATATATATATATGTATATGTATATATATATGAAAACACACACATACCACATAGATAGCTGAACTGTCACAAAACCAATATATATGTACATGTATCATATACCTATACATATACATACATGTATGCACACATACATACTTTTATACTTGAAAGGAAGCCTGAGTATAGTGGATAGAGCTGACTTCAGAACCAGGAACCCCTGTTTCGAACACATTCAAGCTGCCAAACCATCAGCAAGTTATTGAATGTCTCTAGGACTACACATTGTGAGTGGGTGCCAATTTACATTGGTGGAGGGAATGTCCTTACTGGGAGTACTTTGATATATATATGTTTCTATAACCCAAGACCCAGAACTTCCATGACCCTGGACTCAGGCTGCACCTGATCTTGGAAGCTAATGGTGAGATGATCATTTTAAGCTCATGAAAATCCCATAAACTGATCCATTCTGAACATCAAAGTATTGACAAAACCCATCAGCTCCCCTCCAAAGGAAACTGAACTGTGACCAAAGAAGAAGCAAGTCTTTCACATTCTGGTGTATCCCTCACCCTTCCAAGGAGTACTGTGGAGTCTCTCCCAGACCCAAAATGTTACTCCATGTTTGGAATCTCCCATAGAAGGCAAAACTATTCTGTGGCTATTGATCCAATAGTTCTCTTCTCATTAGACAGGTTTGCACTGCCTGAAGACCTCCCTCGTTTTATTCACCAAGGAGGATGGGATTCTGGAATCGCCAATGATCCTCTTCTTTTCCCAAAGAGCTGGATCCAAAAAATGCCATTTTCTGTCTGGAGAGTGGAAGGCTTGTTCCCCAAACTCTTGAATTTGGGAATTTTAGAACTTGGGGTTACTCATGAAGCAACCCCCAAGGTAAGAGGTACCTCTTGGACCAAATGAGAATGCAAATGTCTCCATATCATTCTTTAGGAAGTTGAATTACTGTCCTGGCTCTTGCCATCTTTGGGTGCTAGGAAAATCTACTTTTAGGATTGCTCCTCTGAGATGGTCTGAAGCTGTATGCCATATTCTGGTGCCCATGTGCCAGTCCTGACCTGTTAGTGCATTTTCATAGACTACAGAGAAGGATAGTTATTACCTCTGACTAGCCTCTGTCCCCCTCAATAAATCATCTCTAAGGTATATAATACATGTACATATATATTGATTTGTGTGACACTTCAGCTATCTAATTCCAGTCCCTGAGAACCAAGCAGGAACTCTGTGTCCCTTCAGAAAGGTGCCAGTGAGTCTATCCTCACTTTCCAGGGAGAGAGGAGTTCCTAAGAGGCCTCTAAACAAAGCATCAGGCAACATAATCTCATCAAGGTGAATGGGACATTCATTTTCATCATAGACTCACCTTTGACCAAACCTCGTACATGTATACATACATATACATATATGTTTTCACATGGGAAACTGAGGCAGATTTCACTGAGCTCCCCACTGCCATAAAGCATAAATTCTTTATAGTTTACTTTACCTTGCAGGTAAAGACTAAAATAAAAGAATTAATCCTGAGTCCCAAAACACAAACTAGCTCATCTGATCAGTGACAGCAAATATTGTTTGAATGTTTTAGTTGTAGGAGGAAACAGATTATATTATTTGACTACTTAGAGGTATGTACTTCATTGGCTCCATGATCTCATCAATTTTGGTATAAATGGGGCCTCAGCCGTGTCTCCTCACCCAGGAGTACACTTGTCCATATTGTCTTCTACATCCTCTACACATAATGAGGGTCTTCTCAAAC